TATTCATCATCATTTGATTGTAAACTTGTTATAATATTTAGACGTGAAACATTTGATAAGATTCTTTATACATGATTAATAAAGTTTGATATTAATAATTAAGTATAGTATAGTATGTAATGGATTTGTTAATAATTATTATATAATATATAAAATAATATAATTAGTAAATGAATATAAAATAAAATAATTTTGATGATATTTGATTATATGGAAAATGAAGTAAAGTATAGTAAGTAATAAGTTTGTAATGATTAATAATATTATTTAATAAATTGTGTTAATAATTATATAATATTATTAATAAATTTCAACTTAGTAATAATATTTTAATAAATTATAAATAATTATATAATATATATATATAAAATAATTAATAAATTAAAATAAAATAAATTCAAGTAATTTTGATGATATTTGGATTATATGGAAAAATAAAGTAATAAGTTTGATAATAATAATAATAATTAATAAATTAAATAAAATAAATTTCTGATATTTGATTGACTGCAAAATTCATTACATTTTCAAATCTAATTACATTACATTTTAATATATATATTTTTTATAAATAATTCATTTTAACATACATTATTGCAAACAAAAGCTATTATTGTTTTAATGTCTATAGAATTAATTTATAATAAAATGTTTTGATAATTTTAAATAAATCAACTATCCCTTTCATCAACTATCAGAACCATCAAATGTTTCTATTACGAAGTTTGATTCAATGGGACAGTTTGAACACAAAAATGATTAATTAATAATAATTTTTTTTTTCCTTTTTTTTTATATTTCCTTTATTTACAAAATATTTTGATTAATCTTATTTGTTCGATCATCTTCATCTGAGTTGATAATTAAAAACAATGAAGCAAAAGTAAGCAATAAATGAAACGATGAAATTATATGGAAAGGGACATTGTAAAAAGTAGATATTTAATCGATAAAAAGTAATCGGCTAAATCGGCATCGGGACAAAGAACGAATGCAAGCTGAGTAACGTATGCAATACACGTGCGTATATGTATATATATGTGTGTAAGTATGTGTGTAAGTGTGTGTAAGATACGTATGTTTATGCAACAAATGCAAATAATTATTTATCCTTATCTACTTTTTCTTCTGCTTGCCTTTATTTTCTCAACAATTTAAACGAGTTTCCATTAGACGTGATTTTATTTCATTAAAAGGAAATAAATAAAAAAAAAAATAAAATAAAATAAAAACAAAAACAAAAATAAAAAATTACAACGTTAACATTAAAAAAAAAGGAACTTGTAATATTACAATATTGTAAATTTATTTTTATAAGTGATACGAAAGATTTTGTTTTTTTTTTAATTTAATTTGATTTGATTTGATTTTATTTTGTATTATAAAATATTGTAGATAAATAAATATATGATTTTATTTAATTAAAAGGACAACAAAATAATGTAATAAAAAATTACAAAAATTGACACTTAGAAAAACAACTTTTTAATATTACAAGCTTGTAAATTAATATATTTATTATTTATTTAATTAATAAATTATATTTATAATTATTATTATTATTATTTATTAATTATATAATTATATGGTTAATAAATAATAATATTATTATTATTATTAATATAATATATTTATTATAAATTAACTTATTATATATATATATATATATTAAGAGCTTGTGTAAATTAATTGTTATTATTTATTTAATTAATAAATTATATTATAATTTATAAAATAAATTAACTTTTATTATTACAAGCTCTTGTAAATTAATTTTTCTACACAATATTAAAGATTTTTCTAAACCTCTCGTTTATTTTATTTAATTTCATTTATTAATTACATAAATAAAAATAAAACATACAAAAAACTCTACACGAATTGTACAAACATACATATACATACCATATGCATACATATGCATGTATATTATGTGTGTTTAAACATTGCAAATGATAATATAATTCAATCAAATGATAACAAAATTAAATAACATTTTTAACAAAGCATTTTTTAAATGTACAAATAATAAATGTTGATGAATTTGATGTATTTTAAAAGCCCGACGACGAATCACCCACCCAAAGGAGACAAAATCGAACGGACACACCATAATAAAAAAAAATATTAAAGAGAAAGAAAGAAAGATAGATAGATAGAAATAAAGAGAAAGAGAAAGAGAAAGAGACCCGGTTCGACGAGTAGCCACGTGAAAGTCGTCGTCGTCGTCGTCGTCGTTGGGTTTCGTGATCTGACCACGTGATCATCGTGCGACAAGGGCGCCGAGGTACACACGACGAACAAGGAGATTTCCAACAGAACATTTAGGATCCCGCGCGACCTCGAAACCAAATCTTTTTACAATTTCGCAAAGAACACACATAACCCATCGATAAAAAAAAAATACACACACACACATACACACATACACACACCTGATGAGTTCAAATAAACGATTGTCATCGTCATCGATATCTTCTAAAATCAATTCGAAAACACGTGACTTTTGAAGACTACGTTGGTTTTTTAAGACTACGTTGATTTTTTTAGACTACGTTGATTTTTTTAGACTTCGTTGGTTTTTTTAGACTACGTTGATTTTTTAAGACTACGTTGGTTTTTTAAGACTACGTTGGTTTTTTAAGACTACGTCGGTTTTTTAAGACTACGTTGGTTTTTTAAGACTACGTTGGTTTTTTAAGACTACGTCGGTTTTTTAAGACTACGTTGGTTTTTTAAGACTACGTTGATTTTTAAGGACTACGTTGATTTTTCTTCAAATTGGTATTTAATTATATTTATTATATTTAATTAATTATAATAAAATAATATTATAATAAATTAATAATAATAATACAATTATATTTAATTAAATATATATATATATATATATATAATTTATTACTAATTAATAATTAAATTTATTAATATAATAATTAATTTATAATATTAATATAATTACATATTATTTAATTTATTTATTATATTAATTTTATTTAAATATAATTAAATACATTTAATTTATATTTAATTTAATTTAATTTAATTTAAAATTTTTTTGTTACATAATTTTTAAACATTTTTACCTTCCTATACTAAATTCATTCAATTTAATTTTCTACAATCTTAATCAAAATGTTAATTAATTAATATAATTTTATATTATTTTGATTACTATTTATTATTGTAAAAAGAATATTATTAATAAAACTACAATTTTACTCTTTTAAATGTTTACAATTTCAATATTTGAATAATAAAATCTTACTAAATACTTACAAGTGACATACACTGTATTACTCTACATAAAATCCATCTTGTTATGAACGTAAGAAAATTAATAGAAAAACAATAACAAAAGTAAATTCCACGAAACCGAATTAAAAAAAATCTTCTTTACTTTTAAACTCAACATTTCAAAATAACTGATATCTAATACACTAAAAAACTAACAACGAATACACTTACATATAATATACAATGTAAACATCACGTGAGATCTCGAGTGTTCAAAGTTTAACAACAAAAAAACAACAACAACACAACACATGAAAGAAACTCAACGAGTACTAGAAAACAAAAAATAATAATAATAATAATAATAACTCCAGTTCCAACACGAGTTTAACAATATTCAATCTCTCATTTATTCTTCCTACAAAATATTAATTTAAAAATATCAACGTATGTGTGAACTAAATAAAAACGAAAAACCTACAACAACAACAACAACAATCATTTTCATTATATTCGAAATCCCGTTTGAAACTCCATCGCGTATGAGTTTAATCAAATTTATTAAAACAAAATATAATAATAATTAATAAAAGAACCCTTTTAACGTGTTTTAAATGAATAATAATAAACAAAACATAAAATCCCACGTGTACTGTTTGGCAGACGTTGAGGAGACACGATTGAATCCCCGTCGCGTTGTCGGTCAACGACGCATACACACACACACACACACATATATACACCTCTTCAACATTCGCATTGACACATTCATACACATATATATATATGTATACACATGTTCACATTCGGTTGCGTGCATGCTCGAGCACGTGACCCCCGTTAGCATCGAAAGGTTAGCTGACAGGCCGGTAGCGGCCGAACGACCACGTTCGAGTGACAATAACCCTTTACACACGCGGTCACGTTTATCACATCGAATTCCTTCAGCTTCCTTTTTTTTTTTTATTTTTTTTTCTTACTTTCGATATTACTCGACACTATTAAAATAAACTTAATCCTTCTTCTACAATTAATTTAATCATTTGGGGAGAGGGGGGAGGGAAAACTTTATCGTAAGATATAACTAAGATTCAAGATAAATACTTTTCCACGTGTTCCTCTCATTCATTTCATATTGCAAAATTAATTATTAAAATAATTATAAAGATGTCTACTTCTTTATTATTATTATTATTATTATTATTATTTATTTATTTATTTATTTATTTATTTAACGTGCAATTATTCTATTGACGAATTTGTCGACAATATATTTATATGAAATTTTCTATTTTTAAATTTTCCCGCGACTAATTTTCCCGCGTGTTGACCGCGCGTAAAATTTGAACTCGGAACAGCGGAACGTTCCCCGTGATTTGCGCGGGAATCACAATTGGAATTGGTATTTGGAACGAATTATTATTATTATTTATGAATTGGAAATTTGTTCAGCCATTCTTTTTATTCTAATTTACTCATTCACGTTTTTATTCGAATAAAAATAAATACGAATTCGAATTTAACTTCTATTATGATTATATATATATATACATATTTATCATCTTTAATTTCTTTCTTTCTCTATCTACAACACGTGAGAATAAATCTAAGATGGACTACGTTGACGAAACGACAAACAGACAACAAAAATTAAATACGAATCGTACGAACAATAATTTCAAATGAAAAGCAACATAAATAAAGAACGATAAAATATAAAATGAATTTAAGACATGCTTTTTTCGTTAAGGAAGAAGACTCACGTTTCAGCGGTTTCGGGTTGCTCTGTTTGCGTCGAGACATCCTCGGCACTCTGCCATCACCAAGTCAGCACCAATTTGACGATGACATCCTCATGTCCTCTCAAATGTGTCCCTTCTAACCCTTTCTTCGACGAACTCGCGAATATTATAGACGATTGACGATTTTTTAATTAACACACAACAAACGTTTAGACACACGTAAAAGAAATTTTGTATAACAATGAACACATATACACAAGTTTGCTGCTGATGATGATGATGATGATGATGATGATGATGATGATGATGATGCTGCTGTTGCTGTTGCTGATACTTAAACGAATGCTGCTAACACAAAAGCGAGAAAAAAGGAAGAAAATATAATAAGCGTAGATGCGTTTTTCGAACTTGAGATTCGGTCTCGCGAAGGATAGGAGAATTAAGCGGGGAAAAGAAAGGAAGTGTAAAAACACGCGCGTAAATGTGCTCCTCCCCCCCACCGCCTTCCACTTTGTTCTCTTCTTCTTCTTCTTCTTCTTTTTCTTCTTCTCCTTCTACTTGTTACGTTCGATTCCTCTTTTGAATGATGATCGTGTCAGTACGTGTTAATTTCTCTCTTTTCCTTCTTTTTATCTGGTCAAACTCGGTGACGATTAAATTTACATTCGCGCGCGCGATCACACCGATGATAAAAAAAAAAAAAACCTCTTTTTCTCAACTACGAAGGCACGCACGCACGCACGTACTCGCGAACGTACGTACGTACCTTACCGGCTCCTACCGCGACCGCTGTCAGCGAGCAACTAAACAAATGCGATACCAAACATCTCCCCACTATTTCCCTCGCGGCGTGATCTACCAATAAGAGTGGGGATATCGTCTAGTGGGAATATGCTCCGCCCACTGTCTCCTATTCAACGAGGCGCGGAATTTCGAATCTTTTTATCGATCATCACCGTCTTATTATCCTATCGTTTAGATTATCGTTATTTCGATTATGTTTGATTTTATCTTATGATAAATTACTTAACTGACATGTTTTATTTAATATTAATATTTCTCTTACATCGATATTTGTCTATTTAATTAATAGATCAGCTAATACGATGTTAATCTAACCTTACTTATATTATTTCCCAAATTACATGTTTAATGCAACAGAGGTTATTTATTATTAATTAAGGTAATTAAAATGAGATTTTATCTATGATTACTGTTCCGGTAATATCGCATTGATATCGAACGTCGATAATGATGCATTGTACTCGCATCAAACAACGGAATTTCTATGTGTCTATTCTTATATTATTCAACACTAAACTCGACTTATTTCAAAATTAAATTATAATTAATTAATTTACGATCTACTTCATTTTTTTTCAAATAATATACAAACATTTTGATTATAGAAAAAATGCTTTGAAAAACAATTCATGTATGAAACAAAATAAACCATTATTACATTTGTTATAATATATTATTAATATTTTCTATTCTATAAACAAATTTATATTGTTAATGTTACAATAATCGTATGCATAAAAATTGATCAAATTTTCTTAAAGTAATTCAATGCATTTGAATCGCGCGGTTATATTTTACGCTGTTACCGACCGAGTCCAAAAATATCGATTGAGAAATAAAATTATTTGTAATTCTCCACGCTTCCTGTAAAGGGCGTTTTATAGAATTTTCCAATCCTCCATGTTGTATTTTACTTAATCGTTTACCCGAAGTAGGTGAGTGTTCAAGTTATTTTTTATATTTTAAAACATTAAAACATTAATTGCAAACATATTGTTTTATCCATTAAACTATACAACACTGTTCAAATAATATTATTAATATTTTACATAAATTGCATATAAAATATCTTCAAATTAAACTTTAATATTGTTGTTATTAATAAGGAAAGGTACTCCTGTGATTTATGATTTCTTATCAAAAGAAACGTATTTTTTGTTTTTAATTTTACTTTAACCCTTTACTTGCATTTATTTTATCAAAACTATAAATAAGAAAACCTAAAGTATTTCTATTTCTATTAAATTTATCTTTCATTTATTCAAACACTTTGATTGTTCAACTCGTTGGTTGCAACATAACCTCACTTAAATCTTCTTTCATTCTGAGAAATTCTATCATAGTATGTAACATTTATTAGAATTATTATTTTCAATGGGATACATTTGTATTTTATTAATTAAAACAATTTTTATATTTTATAGCACGTGTTTCAAGATACTAAAATAAAAGATGGGAGACTCAGACGATGAATATGACAGAAAAAGGCGTGATAAGTTCAGAGGTGAAAGAACTGAATCATATTCTCGTGAAGGGCGTAGGGATGACCGAAGAAGAGATGATTGGGTTGATAGGTATAAAAAAAATGATCTTCTTATTAAAATATAAAATGCTTAACACATTTTAACCATTTGAATCAAAAGCATTATTCTAAGATTTCTTGTTGTATAAAGTTCAACATTATTGAAATGCAATACACAATTTATTCTAAATTCCTCCTAGGACTCGAATGGTTAATAAATATTAAACAAAACAAAAAGAAACTAGAAAAAAAAAGTTCCTATTTTTGTTGTTCATATAACATAACATGGATATCGCATTAATCATTTTCAGGAAAAATAATTTCAAGTTGAAGGTAATAAATAAGATAGAATTTGAGTCTTAGCGATATCAAACAATATAATTACTCCTTTATATTTTATAATTACCGATGCAGAAGTCCTTTATTCCTTATTTGCATATTCCTGTTCCTAATGTTGCTACCTTTCGTTTTAATCTAAGGTGAGAACTTTCTAAATCAAATGAAATCATATAATTTATGTAACACTGCATTAATTACTTCCTTTGATAACATTGAATACAATTTTGTTGAATGCATTGATAAACATTGTATTAAATGAATTTTAAAATGTTGATTATTATAGGGAATGGTCAAGTCGTCCTAGACAAAGACCTGATTACCGTGAATACCGTGGTGGTGGTGGTGGAGGTGGTGGTGGTAGTGGAGGTGGTGGACGTGATCGATACAGTCCACCACGTTCTCAAGATATGACACCACCTATAAAAAGAATGCGAGCTGATTGGGATGATAGACCGAGATATGCTCACGATTATTATGGAGGTGGTGGAAGTGCTAGCGGCGGTGGAAGTGCATGGGGTCCAGATCATTATGCACCTGCTCACCATGGTAACCATCACTATGGGAACCATAGTAACACTGGCGGGTTCGTTTATTTTTCTTAGCATAAACATATTTACATTACATTGAATGTATAATAATTAATGTGATATTTCAATTGAAATAATTATAATTATAATAGTAATAATAATAATGCGAAAACGAAGTCGTTTAACTCCTAGACTTTTAGCTAAATTAAGGTAAAATCATAAAGATTAGTGAAAATGAATGAATGTTCAATGTTTTTTTTTTGTTGTTGTTGTTGTTGTAGTCGTGAAGTGGCTGGAAATTTCAGCAATTCAAATGTTGAAACTCAACCACATATGATGTCATTCAAATCATTTCTTGGAACACAAGAAGACACTATTACTGACGAAGAGGCTATTAAACGCTATAATGAGTACAAACTGGAATTCCGAAGGCAGCAGCTCAATGAATTCTTTGTAGCGCACAAAGATGAAGAATGGTACGTTGATATTTATTATTCTACAATATATTACATTATTCGTTATTACAAAAAAAAAAAAAAAAAAAAAAAAAAAATAGAAAAAATATCATTTGTATTATAAAGATTATTTATTTCTTAGTTAGTAAAATTGAATTATCATAATAAAAGGTCTGTATTAAAATGTGATTGTATATGCGTGATAGAAAAAAAAATATATAATAATGATCAAATTCAGCCAAAAGTAAGGCTGTAACATATATATTACAAAATAGAATATATCATTATGATTTAAAAAAAAAAAAAAAAGATAATTGTATATACAGGAATATAAGTAGGATTTTGATTTGACTATTTAAATCATTTTATTTATTAGAAAAATTTCAAACGATATTATATATAAGGTGTCTGATATGATTGTTCCAGTCAAACACGGTCTCAACATATTATATGTATGTAATTAATACAAAAACAAAAAGCCATACAATACGTTGATACCATTTAATTGAAACAATCTCAGATATCTTGTATATATATATATATATATATCTAAAGAAATAATATCAAATGGACAGAATAAAAAAAAAAGAAAAAAGGAAGGTATCTTTGTAAAGGAGTTACTTTTTAGAATGATAATGTATAATTTGCAGATGTAACGTGATAGATAATTTTCAAACAATATTACCAACTTTGTCTATCCCTACAGCATACACAGCCGCCATCCGCCTTATACCTTGGGCACAGGTCATCTCGCCCGTTTATTTTATTCGTACGAACATTTTTATCCATTTCGCGTAACGCGCATCGAAGAAGAATCTCGAGGTGTTGTTGTTGTTGTTATTATGATGATTAGGTAGTTGGATAAAATAAATATTTGATGTGAGCTGGGCGCGCAAAGCCCTACAAAATATTGCTCACAATAGGCCGCGTTCTAAACCCGCTTTTATTCATTTATTACAATTATACAATCTATGCTCTTCTTCTCTGTCATATGAAAAATAGCCACTGTGTCAACGAGAATACTGAATGCAAGTAAAAATATGACACTACAGGTGAGGCTTTATTCTGTAACTGAAAACCAAACCAATAAAAAAACAAACAAACCAAAATTATTCTTTGTAATGCAAAAAATCATATTTGTTGTATTTATAAACTCTCATTCCAATATGTCATACATTTTAGTTTTTATTCAAATGATAATGAATTATTTTAGATTCCAAGACTGGAAACGAATAATAGAAAAAATGGTTTGAACTATTTTTACATTAATACTTTGACAAAATTATCTAATTTCTTTCTTTTTTTATTTATTTATTTTTTTTTTTTTCTTTATTTTCATATGTTTGACATCTTTCGAGTTATTTTGTTTATTCTTTATTATCAAATTTTTCAATTGGAAACAATGTTTCTGATTTGAAACAATGTTAATGATATATAAATGCTATTTTATTTTGGGCATACTCTACGTAAATTTACATATATATATATATATTATTTTGATCAAATTAACTCATATTATATTATTATTATTTATCAACATGATAGTAATATATAATCAAATTATTAAAGCTATCGTGTATGTCTGTTAGAAGATATTCAATGAATCTAAGTTGTTAGAGACAACTTGTTGAAAAAAAAAAAAAAAACATATCTACATGTTAATACTAAAATACCTTGAAACTTCAACAATAATATTATAAACAATGAAAATCTATATATCAAAATATATAAATAAAAATAATGATATATTCGATATAAGATAATATATTAAAATGATAATTTCATTTGTTTATTCGATAGGTTCAAAATAAAATATCATCCGGAAGAATCATTGAAGAGAAAAGAGGAACAACTTGCAGCCCTTAAGGTATTAATAAATATACCAATGTAACAATTTTACATACACAAATTGTTTAATTATGTTTTCATTTAATATACAAATAATTGTCTTTTTTTTTTTTTTTTTTAATTCTCGAATGTTTTAATAATTATGTATACGATATTATTATAAAATTTTATTTTTTATAGAAACGTGTTGAAGTATTTATAGATATGCTTGAAAATGGAGAAGTAGATAATGTTTCCGTAGATGCTGAACAATCAGATCCACTGTTACGACTTTTAGATGCAGTTGTAATTAAATTGGAAGGTGGTACGGAAGAAGATTTACAAATTTTAGATGTCAAACCATCGAACATCATGATTCCTAAGGATACTGGAATGAAAGATAAAATTGATAATAAAATTAAATCTACAAGCGAACAACAACAAAAGCAACAATCTGAAAAAAGGTATTAATTATTATTTTTGGTTTATGAAATTAATATCAAATGATTTTATGAATTTTCTTTTTTTACATTGTAACATTGTTTTATTTTTAGTGAAAATGTTAAAAACGAGGAGTCGGTGGCAGAGGAAAAATCGAGTAATAAAAATGGAGAGAATGTTGATATGGAAGTTAAAGATGCTGAAGACAATGACAATGCTGTTAACGAACCAGAAAAGATGGACGAAGTTTCGGATGAGACTAAAATTAAAGAAGAAAATTCTAAATCTGAAGAAACGAGTATGTTCATTATTATTATATAACTAGGGGTGCCCCTGTAACTCACAATCAGTCCGATACACACGTCTTTAAGTCAACGAATTACCTTATACCTATACCTTATATATTATAAATTAAGATATAAACTATCCTATCTTTCAAGTTGAATGAAACTGAACATAGTGTGTAAAATTTAATTAAAATCGGTTCAGTAGTTTAGGAGTCCATTGCGGACAAACAACGTGACACCTAATTAGATTTATTAGACATTTTTATATTAATTGTAATTAATGGAATTTATTACAGATGATAAATTAGAAGAGACTACTAATACAAGAAAAAGAAAACGAACCAATAGCAACAGTAGTAGCAGTAGCAGTAGTAGCAGTAGTTCATCTGAAAGTGGGACCAATAAAATGAATACTCTTAAAGCTGATAAAACATGTAAATATTATTTATAATTATTTAATTAAATTCTAATATTAATATCATATATTATCATTTATATAATAAATAATTATTATATTCAGCTGCAAATGAAAAGATGGAAGAAACTAATGACAATGATAACGACAATGAGAATGAAAATGACAATAATGAAGATATAGCTGTAAAAGAAGAAAAGGAAGAAACAAAATTGGACCAAGTAGATTCAACGGAAGTTAAAAAGCCTACAATTGAACCGGAAACTGTTATTGATCTAGCAAGTGAAGATAAAGAAAAGGAACCAAGAGCTCTTCATAAAACGAGTAGCATATTTTTAAGAAACTTAGCACCGACTATTACAAAAGCTGAAGTTGAAGCGGTAAATTATTATTTTTAATTACAAATCAATTTTAATGAAATAATTACAATTGTAATTGTGTTATTTTAGATGTGTAAACGTTTTCCTGGTTTTCTACGAGTTGCAATAGCTGATCCACAACCAGAGAGAAGATGGTTTCGACGTGGTTGGGTTTCATTTGAAAGACAAGTTAATATTAAAGAAATTTGTTGGAGTTTGAACAATATACGAGTTAGTATAAAATATTATTTATCTTCTTATATCATTTATTACATTAATTAATTAATTAATTATTTATTTATTTTTCAATAGTTGAGAGATTGTGAATTAGGTGCAATTGTCAACAGAGATTTGTCACGTCGTATTCGTACAGTTAATGGATTAACATCCCATAAACAAATAGTCCGACACGATATTAAACTTAGCGCTAAAATTGTTCATAATTTAGACAATCGAGTTGGATTGTGGAAAGATGATAAGAAAGAAGACAATTCTAACAAACAAAATGACGATAATAAAGAAAATACTACGACAACAACMACCACCACCACGTCACAGAGTGAAGTTGAACAAGCTGTAAGTTAATTCTATTTTCTTTTAACCTAAAACTAAATAAAGTTCAACTATGGTTTTTGTTTTTTTTTTTTTAGGCTTTTGGATTGTCATCGAAAAATCCAGTATTGAAAAACATAACAGATTATTTGATAGAAGAAGCATCTGCAGAAGAAGAAGAATTGTTAGGCATGTCAGGTGATCAAGAAGAAGGTCAATTGGGAGGAGACGGTGATGGTCCAATAGAAAGAGATCCATCTTTGATTAAAGTAATCTTGAAACTATTTTAAAAATGAATTATTATTCAATTTGATTGGGTTGATTTGATGAAGTTATTAATTTGTTTATTTTTTAGGTATTGGATAGATTAATATTGTATTTACGTGTAGTACATTCAGTTGATTACTACAATCATTGTGAATATCCAAATGAAGATGAAATGCCTAACAGGTGTGGAATAATGCACGTTAGGGGTTCTCCACCTACTGCTAAAATTACTAGTACGGAATTACAAGAATATTGTCGCAATTTTGAAAGTAAAATGTCTGCTTTTCTACAACCTGCTGCTTCCCTGTCAACAGAAGAATTTGATAAGCTCGGTGCTAAAAATGCTGATGCGTATCCTTTTTTTTTGTTTTTTTAAAATGAAAACTATGTATATGTGTGTGTGTTGTGTGTGTTTAACATTGCACACGACTCTCGTAATGAATTAATTAATAATATTTAACTATATCAATAATTTTCTTAATTAAACAATGTACAGTGAGGTAGAAAAGTTTGTTCAAGCTAATACGCAAGAATTGGCAAAAGACAAATGGTTGTGTCCTTTAAGTGGGAAGAAATTTAAAGGTCCTGATTTTATTCGCAAACACATATTCAACAAACATGCAGAGAAAGTTAACGAGGTTATGACTGAGGCTGAATATTTTAATAATTATTTGAAAGATCCTAAACGACCACAACTTCCGGAACATCCTGGTAATAAAGCAACACCTAGAGAAGGACCACGTGAAGGATTTAACCCATATGGTTGTAGCACGTAAGTATTATAATGTAACCTTCATTCTATTAACACTATAATTTATTAACAAATTGTTTAATTATTCATCTTCAGATTTGGAAGTTATGGTGCTGGTTATGGAGGAGGAAGAGGAGGTTATGGATCCAGTTATGGTGGTGGATTTGGCGGAGGATTTGGTGCACCTCGTCCTGGTCGTGGTGGTTTTAACAGAGGACGGTAAGATAATTTATTTTATCTTAGATAATTTTTTTTTGATCATTTTTATCTCTCTTTCCGTTTTTTATTCCTTGCTATTTTGCAATTTTCTTTTCACTTTCAATATCTTTGCATGATTACTATTTGGTTTCAATTTTCGTGTTACTAATTTCAAACATAACCTTTAAAACATATTTATGACATAACCTATTTATCAAATGTATTATTTTGTTGTGTTAACACATCTTAATACATGAATACACAAAAACACTATTTAAACACATTTTATTATACACATAAAATATGTGTCATATAATTCAAGATAATCATTTAGATTAAAGTTATCTTAGATTAGATTTGGTTTTTTTTTTTGTTTTTTTTCATTTTTTTTTTTTTTTTTTTAAACAAAGACAAAACAATGTTTACAGGGATTATGATGAGGAAGAAACCGTATCGACGTCAAGACCTATTATTAATTATAGTGACTTGGAACTGATGAGCAATATCTTTTGAATGTTTTTTATTCCATTATTTTAATTTTTCTGTTTTTTTTTTTTTTTCAAATAGAAAAAACAAAATATCTAGTTATCCGAGCCAATAGATTACTTTTGTTTTAACATTATGTAATATTATATTTAATATAATTTATGTTATATATATTAGAGGAGGACCGGAAAGTAATGTTACTACGCAAGTCATATTTTATATTTCAATCAAAAAACCGGTTTGATTTTTATCAGTATTACATATTTACATAATTGATAACGATATATAATTATTTTATTATTGATTAATAATAAGAATTTATTTTAAAACTTTATTTGTTTGAATTTGAGGTTAGAAAGTGACATTACTTTCCAGTCTACCTAATATATATATTTTATAAATTTATTATAATATTAAATATAATAAATATTTAATATTAAATATAATATATTTATAAAAAAAAAAGAAAAACAAAAAAACAAACACAAATTCATTCACTACTATCACCTCCTATCTGTTCTGTACATGTGTTACTAAATCTGACATATATATATATATATATATAAATGTATGCCAATAATTGTGACAGGTGTTACATATCAAAATAAATTCCAAAATTCGTATTTTCAATCTCTCAATTGAACTACACTGTCATAATATTGACACATAATTTATACATGTATTTCATTTAATTTAAATATAACCAAAAAAAAATTTACAAGCATCGAGATCCAAACGTATACCCAAAAAAACAAAAAAACAAAATGGAACATCTACATACTTGTATATTAGTATAGTATTTTCTTGTTTGTATGATTTAAAATTCATTGAATATAAATCAATGAAAGGATCAATCGATGCTGTAATTTACAAATTGTGTGTGAACAAGTTAATAAAAAACCTTCTTTGTGTTTTTTTTTTCTAATTGTTTGTGACTTTTTTTTTTGTATCTTTTTTATTTTAAAACCCACTTCTAGTTATTTTTCTAGTAACTAAATAAATACCTCTGTGTGTGTGTGTGTGTGTAAATAATTGATGTATAAATATATGAACCTTTTTTCTGTTTTTTTCTAATTGTTTGTGACTTCTTTTTTATCTTTTTTATTTTAAAACCCACTTCTAGTTATTTTTCTAGTAACTAGAAAAAATACCTCTATATGTGTATATATATATATATATCATTGATGTATAAATATATGATGAACTAATGATAATCACTATTACAGTGGCGGTGGTGGAGATTTCCGACCTGTCATACATTATCGTGACCTTGACGCACCACGTGAACCAGACGAGTTTTTATAAAAATATTTTTAAACTTTTTTTTTTCTCTCATCAATGGGAACTACGACCAACATCCTAAAAGAAAACAACAACAACAAAAAAGAAACGTCGTGCATATTCTCTCTCTCTCTCTCTCTCTCTCACACACAAATATTATTATCAACAGGAAGTAGCATAATAATAATTAAATTAATAAACAGAAAGAAAAGAAAAAAAAATAGACAAACTACTAAAAAAAGAAGAAAAAAAATAATAAAAATAAWTAAATAAATAATAATGACGATAAAAAGCTTCTATTGAAATAGATAATCTAATCACACGATAATTAATTTTTTTTTTCAAATGTTTGTCACATTTTTTTGACAAATATTTAGATTAATAATTAATTATATAATATATATAATATAATATATAATATATAATATATTATATATATTCGTATTAAATATATAAAAGTGAAATTATTATTATAATTATTATTATTATTATTATTATATAAATATATATATATATGTATCTTTAAAAAATTATAATTATTAAAAAAACAAAATTGGGTATATGAAATTGTTATTTTAATTTTTCTTTTTTTTGGGGGGGGGCGGCTAATAAATACAAATACAAAATGGCGACCAATTGTGGTATGTAATAATATGACAAATATGATTTAAGTAATAACTACTGTAAAAAAATAAAAAAAAATATATATATAAAATAATAATAAAAAAAAAAAAAGAAAATTTAATTTAAAAATAAACTCAAAAATATTATTATAATAATAATATAATAATTGTTTATTTTATAATAATATTCATTATCCGTTCATAAAATTTGCTGTACTATTTTTATACGAGACGTTTTTTTTTTTTTTTACATATATATATTTACATTACATACGTATCCCATTATTTTTTATTTTATATCAAATACTGTATAGGAGTCACATGAGTCTTTTTGTTTTTTTTTTATTTTTTTATTGCAAATACTTTTTATTTGTTTATAAATATTATATAATATGATCTTTACAGTGCCTTTCGTCACTATTGTCACCACAATCGTCAATTCCATTGCATTTTGCACCCTTTGCAA